AGCAGAGCTGTTGTTTGGAATTCAATCTTTCTGAAAAAATATGAATATGTATATTCATATTTATTTAATATATATGCGTATACATAAATTTTCTATGCTTTGCTGGCTCACCTATGAATAAAGTTTTAATAACAGGATCCTTAAGTGCTGCATTAATTTTGCATTGCTTTTAGGACCACCAAAGAAACCAACTATAATGCAAAATCCCTTCAGACTGTGCACCACAAATACATACCAAAGCACAAATAAAACAAGCCTCAACAAACTAAAAATGAATCCAGCATCATCTACAAGCCCAACTTCAACACACTTATGAAAACTAACCATGGCAAACACTGAGAAGGTTTGGACTTTGGCCAAAATTTCAAAAATTTGGATGCTTATATCAAATTTTATTTTTACTACCATAAAATTAGTAAGATTTTAACCTGCAAGCATACCCATACCTCCCCTCACAGTCCATAGCAAAGCCTTTGCTTTTTCTCATTTAGCTTGACAGTAGCATGCATTTTGTCCCAAGGCAACATTAATTTCCTACCTAAACCCCATTAACAGACATGGGAACATAGTACTCTGCTTCACAGACACCTGTATAAAGGGGTTTAACAGAGTTTTAAGCATAGGGACTAACAGATACTTAAACTCCAGAGTCCTGGTGGAATAATCTTCACGCTGCTCCTATTAACCCATGTGTGGATGGAGCTTTGGTCATTTCTCAGATGATTTCGTTGCAGGGACAATATTAATATACTCTCTCTGCTCTGGACACACCAACAGAGCAATGTGGACTAGGTTTGATGGGTACACCTACTTGGGTACCATGAATAAAAGCAACTGACTCAGACTCTGCTCCAAAATACATTTGCCCTTAAAATGGGACAGGTTCTTAACCCACTGTTTAAACACAACAGCTGTAGAAAAAGAGACACATTTACCACTGTATTGACTGAGAAACTTGATCACATATGAGAAATAACTATTCTTAACCATTTCATGGCCAAACATACGAACACAAAGTTCTGATCACCAAAGTGTGGAAAAAATCATGAAGTAACTGTCAAATAGGAAAAAAGAAACACTTTTTTTTTTTTTTTCCCAAGTGATATGTAGCTGAATTCGGTCAGACTAAGGTTATCTTACCTTGGAATATTCAGTGGTTCTTGATCTTCCAGTGGAAGAATGTGTCATGTTTTATCTCTTGGGCTCATACCTGATTTGCACACTGAGGAAAAAAATGGGCTGCATATGAGTTTGAGAGAGACCTCAAGGTTTATCTCAACTGTTGTACAAATTCAAGCCCTACAGAAGATATGTATCAATTTTGCCACCACCCCAGAGAAGATGAATCAGAGCAGCACCTTCCATAGAGAAACTGACTTTCGAAGACACCCTTTCCCAGGTGCTAAAAGCACCCCTTAATAATTGCTTCGATATATTTGTGTTCTGCCTACACCAAAATCTGCTGAATAGGGAAAATTTAGGACTACTAAAATGTTGATAATATTCCAAAACAGAGGAATATAAATTATTTAAATACTAAAGTAAGGGTGAAGTGACATGGAGAAAGATAGACACATCACATCTAATTTACTGAAATTATTTACTTAAAGCTACAACAAAATTTGTGCATGTGCAGCAGATTTCAGCACTGATCTTCTGAGCAAGGGAGCTCAGAGAGAGGAGCTCAGCTGGGGCCTTGCTCTTACAAAAACCTTCATTCTCCTTCTTTAAGAGATTTGTTTTCACCTAGGCTTGACACACAGTTGCTGCCATTTCATTTCCAGATCTGAAGAAGTCATGTCAGTACAAGAAATGCAATAGTTTCTTTGTTGTTTTTATTTTGCAGATTAATTAAATACTTATGGAAATGAGAGCTAAACAGAACTGGTTTGAGCCAACTTGCTTTATTGACTTTTGACTTTCTGAATCCTGCTATGGCTTCTGATATTTACACCACCTCTTCTTCCCGGACTAGTAGAGGAGATCAGCCACCACAATTCAGCTGCACTTTATTAGAATCAGATTCAGTTCATTTATTAAAAGTCAACAGTTTACCTTTGTGAACACCCATCATAGCTGCTGCCCCATTTAAAAGAGGGCATCTACATTTCTTAATTGTATGTCTCCTATTGCTTCTAGCAGCTCTGATGCTCTGCGCAAAGGAAGGTTGGGAGGAGATGAAGGTAAGAACACTCTGGCACTGCCAGGATACATCCCTCGTGGTGATTTCTGATGCAGAAATCCGGCAGGGTGTGGAGAGGAAGAAAAGTATCCCACAGTCCATGTTTTGGTGGAAATGTAGCATTTATGTTTCTGCACCAGGTCATTAAGTGGCTGTGGCATATTTCAGCCTGAAGGTTTTAAAGCACTGAGTCCTGGATTAGGTCCAAATCGAGTGACTGCATTATTCCTCCCCAAATTCCTCTTGCAGATCCAGTTGGATACTGCTTTTGCCACTTTCCTAACCTGTGGGGCTGGGTTATGTGCTTTCTCATACACCTATCATTTTCACTGCAGAGTGCAGATGACTTAGAGCTGAGAGCATCAGTATGGATTTGGGAAATCCAGGTTTTCTGAACCGTCCCAAGTTTCCCAACATGGGGCCAGTCATTTATCCTTTCCGTGCCTCAGAAGAAATGGAGATAACAACACATTATTATTTCAAAGCAGTGCCGCAGGCATAAATATATGGAAGACTGTGAGGCACTAAGATATTAGAGTAATCAAAGTCAGACAAGTACTAAAGATTGACAGATCACAAAATCAGTAAGAAAATCTGCGAAGCATCTGGATGAAGGCTAGTCCAGAAATGCACAGATATTGGTACAAGACTCTTGTGCCAATATTTCTGTGTGATAGGAATTAAGATAAATGATCAATCACAAATAAAGAAGAGAGCTATAAAATGTAAAATGAAACTGTATTATTATAATTTTAGTTCTTGATTTTCTTTATTTATCTTTCCAGCTCTCTTACACTACTAATCTATCTTGTTTAGGAAAAATAGTATATAAGTATAGTGGAGCTTGATTACTGAGAATGGCTATTAATGCAGTGTTTTAGAGTGCTCTCTAGCCAGTTAAAAAGCTCTTAACAGTAAAATATGAAGGTTTCCTTCAAATTTTCAGGCATCTGCCTTCTAAAAGTTTGTTTCAGTTGCCAACATTTCAGTGATTTATAGAAGTCAAAGGATCTGATTTTTGTCCCCCCACAATAGATGAGAGCTATTTTTTCTTATTACTTTGTAAAAGGCAACATCATTATCTGAAGCAGAAAAAAACAAGTTAAGAGCTACATTAAAGATACAGCTTTCAAAATAATTTTTTAAGGCATCTGGCCTTATTTAAACCGTCAAATTTACATTCAATTCCTTTGGGGATGGCTCTGTTGCTTTGCACTGGCTCTCTGCCCTCCGAATAAAGCCCTGGATTTAATGCATGCCACCACTGTGTTTCCCTAGCTGCACCACCACTCAGTGTAGATATATAGTAGAGGTATAAAAAGTCTAACCTTGGACAAGATGATTCATTTAGGCAAGGAAAAAAACACACCCTGTAACTGTGTAAGTTTCAGCTAGAGGTTAGACTTGTGACTAATGTCACTATCTATTTATTCTTGAATTATTAGTAGAAGTGTTTATGTACTATGAAACATTCTGTATGAGCTAGACGGGAAGCTATAAAACATTTTATGAGATCTAGGCACGGCTGATGGCAGAATGTTAATACAACGCTAAGGTTCATCTGAATTCAAGAAGTGCCTGAAAACACCTCCCCCCTGCCAGTGATATCTTCACTTGACAAAGAGAAGTGTACTGTGGAAACCCAGGGGGGCAAATTCTGCAAGGTCCTCAGTGTCTCTGGAGAAATATGGAGCACTGTCAGCTTCTCCTGATTTCCAGATGAAGGCAGGAGTGTTTTAAAGGGCTTTATTTTCTCAGAAGAAACCCTGAGGAAGGACAGGCCAGGAAATGAGACAAAGCCCCACTAGAAATCTGTGCTGTGGCTCTGTCACCTCTGACAATTTTCAAGCTGAATTATCATCCCTCTTTTGTGGATGGCTGGATTAGGAAACTGAAAAGCTAGGTAGTATAACCATACAGCAAGGACATGGAGCAGAACCCCCACACCCTTAACTGTTACGCAGTCTTACTCCTACTGAAATTGGTTCCGTTTCTCTTCTTCAGGTAACTGATGTTAAACAATCAGCATAAACTGACTCAGTTACTACAAATCCTTGCTAAGGTTCTTCAAGTTGAAATCATACAAGCACAAAGTTATTTGTACACAGCCATTAACTGAATCTCAAACTGTTTTTTATACTTGCAGTACAGAAAAAAAGTTTAAGATAAAATGCGTAGTACCAGCTTAAACATACACTTCTGTTTCTGCAGCACATGAAGTGGTGGTAGGACACACTCTGTATGCAGCCCAAGTCCTAGTGGTCACTTTTGTGTTTTAAATTGAACAACCCTGAAGATGAATGAAAAAAGCGATTACTTTCCAAAAGAAGAATAAACTCGGTTAGTGCAAGATAGGGACACATAACCCACCTTGTTCTACTCTAAATTCAGCTGACTTGTGTAGAGAAGTGTAAGGTTATTATATGGGTTTACTGGGCAAACCCAGATTTTATAAATAATTGCCTGTCAGACTGTTCAAGATAGACAAACACACAGCAGACCAACAAAAACATGATCTGTCATATTTCTGAGAGAAATGTATGTCGAGTCTTCATTCTCTGGGACTTTAAGTAGAGCAGTAAAAAGTAAGTGCCAGTATTTTTTCTGCTTATGCATATTTTAAAATGTAAAATCTGGGAGAGATACAGCTACAGAAACTATTTTGATTCCAGTACCCAGTGCCTGAAACGGTTTCTTCTGTCTCTATCCCTGCACATCGAAACCAAATACAATAAATGCTGGTGTCCTTTTAAAAAGTCTGGATGTTTGCAGCAAGCATATAATTTTCTATGATTAAGGACGCCAAAAAAAATAAGAGTGATGATAAAAAGAAAAGTTTAATCATACATTTCAAGAAGTACAGATGAAACATCAGAAAACTTCCCTCCCTCATTTAATACACTGCATTGTACACATTACTTTTAGTCCTTTACACACAAATTGATTCCAGAAAATAGAAGCGTAAGCAGGTAAAACAAAATAGCAATTTATGAATGGCAGTAATATTTGATGTGTAAAGCTCACTTCCACAATATTTTGGTTGTAAAGAGAAGAGGCATTTTTCTGTTTATTTAAAATACATATGTATTTTTAAAGTTTTTGTAAGCAGGTCCAGAAAAGCAGAGAAACAAAACCACTTAAAAGGACAACAAGAGCATTGTTGCGAGTAAAAATTAAGACCTCACATACTAAGCATAAAAGAGGAGGATGGCTGAACTATATGCAAGTGATATTTTGCTATCATCTCCTCATGATATCTTGAGCACTCTGTATTAATTTGGGGTTTAAGTTAGATTTCAAGACTGGGCTTAGAGTGGCTGGAGCAGACCCCCTGGGCCCAAGGGGTACCACAGGGATACAAGCAGTCCATGCTTGTATATCTTGATGATGGGCTGAAGCATGAGCCCTTTTCTCTGGTCAAGCATCATTGTGGTTAGCTCTATATTTGTACAGTTTTTATGGGAAGAAATGAATGTGCTTTTGAGGCCAGCGAAGGCTGGAGGAGCAGCGGATGGGGAAAAAGCATAGAAGGAGGGACTGAGATTTAAAAAATAAATCTGAAAACAAACAACGTGAACGAAAATATAAAAAAGGCAAAAAGCCCATTTCTTCTTTAACCAAACCCAACAGTAATGCTGTCTTTGTCAATAACAGAGACAACATCTGCTTCCTGCAGCAAATGCTGAGCAAGTACATAGCGTTAAGCCTTTGCCTACAACCACTGAGACAGACACAGCTATTCAAGTACTTTAGGATGCATTTTTACGAATAGGGGTCCAATCCAGTGCCAAATCACTGCAAAGGCTCTCCTTGATTTCAGATACTGATGGCTCGAGCCTTAGGAGACTTAAATACCTAGAATTTGGGGCTGATTTAGACTATCCTTGGATCTGAAAAAAAGAAAAGTCTCTAACTGGTAAAGTACAGTTAATCTGAACTTTTTCTCTGAGTATCTTTGGATCTGAACTAGCTATTACTCTCATAAAAAAAGCTCCTCATTGGATTAAACTGGATTACCCTATCTGAACAGTTAAAAATTAGTTGGGAGGAATAGTGAAAATAGTGGAAAATTGTGGAAAACAGTTTTGCTTTCAGTAAAGATCATAAGGAAAACACATATGACCTTTTAATAACCTTGAAAAACTCATATAACCCAGTCTATCTCTGGCCTCCTTCTGCCTCATCCTGCTTTTAAAAAAAATATATCTCTAGGAGAACATACAGACTTCCAAAGACTTAAATAAAAATGACATTGCATTTCAGAAAGAGGCTGACAGCAGTTAGTCCCCTGCAAACTTCAGCATTGTCTGATCTGCATTCTTGTCCACCTACACCCTATCCCAAACATCCTGCCATTAATTAGCTAAATGTTCCAGCTAGTAAACAAGAATAACGATTGAGGGGGCTGGAAAAAGAGACAGTCAGCCAGCAGATAGTCACAACAAACCAGCCCACTCACTGGTACACTGAGACATCGGAGCTTGTATTTTTTTTCCTTCCATGGAGGGGAAAAGAAAATCACCTTAATATAACACTGTCTTTCCTGTTGCTGCAGCCACATTCATACTAGCAGGCGAGAAAAGTCATCCCATTTCTGCGGTAGGCACTCTGTCAAAGAAAGAGAAAATCTGTAATGAATTATCACATCAACTTAAATGAGGGAAGAAGGCAGAGAGAAAGGCAAGGCTTTCTTCCTGTTTTGTAGACTATTCTGGCTGCAATCTAATAGTGTGCTTAATCCGAACATTTCTGGTGGGGAAGCTATGAGCAACCACTTTGTCTATAAAAAAAATCAGTGTGGTTAACAAGTGGTTAGCGACTATTTCAGGAGAGCAAGAGATATGCAAAAATGCAACATCCTATTTTGTTAATTGCCTGCAAAATAGATGATGCCAAAAATACACTATTATGCTGAATCTGTTTGTCCCTTCTAAGCATGTGTTCTCTATTCACTATGTTCAATAATCATTTCTAACCTATCTTAATAGTCTATAAATTACTGAATAATTACAGTTTTCCAATCTTAATTTACAGTCTGAGTCTAAAGTTATATGAACAGACACTGGTATAATCCCCACCCTGCAAAACCAAATTAAAGACCCTCTGGTCAGCACAAAATAATTTGATATCCCACATACTGTAACCTGGCATCAAGTGTTTCCAATGCTAAAGAAACACAGGAGTTAAACAGCATTTGAGAAAATAATTTTAAAAGACCCTGTGAAAATGTCTCACTAAAATACCTTTCATACATTTTTAACATCTCTTTCTGAATCAGTACAGGAAAGTATCCCTTTTTACACCAGGCATGCTGGAAACCCTGTATTTTAAGGGGATATTCTCAGTTTAAAAATGTGTTGGATTTTTTTTTTTTTTGTGATATTAATGATAGCTTCAAAAAGGGAAGGAGTGCAAATACTTTTGCTTTATTTGGTTCACCTTCAGCAGTCACTCAGTTTCAAAAATAAAAATACAGCCATCTATTTTATTACATTTAGTGCTTCGTCAGATTATTTTTTACCTTTTAAGTTCAAGCACTTAGGAAGTGCCATATATAACTACCAATTTCCTAATTAATTTCAGAAAGATCAATTCTTTCCTCTCTTAAAATAGAATTAGAAAAGTTTCATTAACAGCAAAGGATAACCTCAAACAACTTTGTATATAAATAGTATTTATATCGAACTGTACGGAAATAATTTCAAAACCAGCAAGCATGTATTCCGAGAGACATTTACAGACACTAAATATGCAAAAGGAAATATGTGCAAGATGTTTATTACAGCATCCTTGACACTAACATCATACTTCAATGTAGTGACCTAGTAGTGTATTGCATTAAAGCCAAAGAGCAGAGTATGAGCTCTGGGATAGACAGCCAGCCATCAGACATGACAGTATCACCACAAACAAAACAAAAAAGAAATCCAAAGACTCTACATCCAAACACAAAATGCACAAAACAGACTAGTCAATAATTTTGAAAGGATCCAACATATTCCCACAACCACAAGCAGCAAGTCCAAAGGAGTTTGGATCTGCAGCTTGCCCAAACCATTATGGTTGGCATTTTGAAGTCGATGCAAAAGTAATGTTTTTAGCAAATTGACCCCGATATTTATACAGAGCTTTATAACCAAAGTGACAACCTTTAACACATAAACAAAATATTCAGGGCTATTGTGCAATTTGCTTGAAGATAAATGAACCCAAGTATAAAGTTGGATCCACATGAAAGATAAAAGGTTGAATTTTTCAACAGGAATTTTGGTTGCAAAGCAAAGTTGGGCTTGGCTGGGCTCACCTGGGAAATAAGTTTAATATTTTCCAACATGGGCAATATTATACAGTTAGTTATACCCCTGAAAAGGTCATTTTGGAAGCAAGTTTCAGAGGAGAGAGGATAACACCTTCAGAAAGTTAGACACACCCATGAGTCTATATTTAGCCATATATTATAACTAGTGTGGCTATAGTTAGGATTGAAAACTATTTCCTACTTAACTCACTGTTTCACATACTTTAAACTTTCTGAAACATTTGCCCTTGGGCTGAAATTTCCTCTGCTTTAATCTCTGCCTGAAGTTCAGTTTCTTTGGAAAGGACCAACAAAATTCTTTAAGCCATTTTGAAGTTCAGCAATAATGAAAACAACACTTTTTTCCTTCCCAAGCAAGAGAAAGTGATTCTGATATATGCATATTTTACTATGGAATATAGCCATAAATTGAAGCATTATACGCAGAAACAACCTTTACCTTCAAACTCAGCTTAAAGGTAACTGTTTTGAAAATCGGTATTTCAGAGGAGTTGAGTTTGATTCATCCCATTCCATAACAAGATAACACTTAATTCTTATTTCGATACATTACTAGATAATAAAGGTTAACCTCCAAAATGCTTTTATGCATAGCAAAACTATTTTACAGTCATCCCATAGTTCTGAGTTATACATCTTTCCGATCTATACAGCTGAATTTGTGATACTAAAAGACATATCTTTACAAGTCAAGAACTGCGAAGAGGAACAGCAAGATGTTTTTAATGAAACTTACATGTGTATGTGCCCTTGCAAGAGTTTCTACGTATGTGGCAGTCATTTAACACGGTTTGATATAACATAAAGGTTTTAGATGATGCTTCTTGGTGCTTTATGTCACTTCGGCAGTATCCAATGTTTTAAAAAAATACGATTACTTGGCTCAGAATTACAGCTAGAGGATGATGCAGAATCTTGATGTGGGATTAAAATGGTAAGCCATTGCTGTATGTATTTTGCTGGATATATCTTGCTATAAAGCCCAAAATCAGGAGATAACAAAAGTGCATAGTCAACCCTGGAGCTCGTTTGGGGCATCTACTGCATTTTATGTGGGCTCCTTCTCAAAATGTACTGTCTACCAGACTGTGCTTTGTTTTTTTTTTCTTCTGTAGGCTATTTGCTGTGGTTGAAGGTCTGTCAGCCTGTTACTGTACCCACTGTGTGCGCAGGTGGCCAAAGGACCACCTTTTAGACATGGGAAATCACCCAGCTTGGCAGAAGTTACATAGTTCATTTTCCCAGAACAGATTCCATGATCTGAAAAGTTGGTATAACCTTATTTGGCCAATTTAGCTTTCACAGAAACATTTCTTGCCCCTTGCTACCATATGACAAGATTTTGCATCCCCCTCCTCTGACCTTGATGAAGGTGAAAGGACAACCAATTTAGGCACCCTGTGAAGCATCTTGTCATGGCTTCTCAGGCATCCTCTATTTACCTATAATATAGGAACCCTGCCTTGAAAATATTGTTCCTTCAAGTTATTAAAGCACATTGGATTTTGATATAAAGATCTTGGGAATGCTATCACTATTTAGCAAATGAAGGTAGGTTTTTTTTTCCAACAGTCTGAAAGGAGGTACAATGAAGCAGAAAAGATGAGCAGCGTTCACTGCTGTGAGTCACCTGACATGAAATATCATGTTTTGCCCTTAGTTTGCTGAAAGAAAGGAAAATTAACATTTTAAAAACGCAACCTGAAACAATAGGCCTTAGTCAAGCAGCAACTCAAATTTCATGAAAAATCATCCATTTTCCACTCTCAATTTTTGGTCCCATGTCTCATCCGTAGCGGTAGCCTGAGGTAGCATATTATGAACAACCACAAAAAAACACTATATGAAGAGGGCAGCAGAAGTCCCATCCCCACAGAAGGTCACACAAAACAAAACAATCTACTGAAGAGTTCTTAGGATCAATTTAGGGTTAGATAATTCTGTATAATAATATAGAATAATAATATATCTTGTGTTTGTTAACACAAGGTATACTGAAGCTGTGATCTACAAAAACAAGTCCCAGCAAAATATGAAGATGTGAGTACTCCTCAATTAGGTAACACATAAGGTTAGAAAACTAAGACTTCTGAAGAGGCACCCTGGCTAGAAATGGTTTCCAGTTAACAGTTCACACTAGTGCATAATTCCACAGCTGTAGCGTGATGAGAAAGATTAATTTTGACAGGAGAAAGACAGCTGTAATTTCTACGTGGGCTGATGTTTAATTCTTATTCAGAATAAAATTTGGAAAGTCTAGGATAAAACATCTCCAGTGGGCATTCTAGACACTAATGTTTACTGGGCCAAATCCTCCATTGGTTTAAGCCAGGAGTTCTGCTTACATTAAAACTAAGGCACAATGTCATACCACAGGTCTGCTGTATCACTTAAAATCTGCAAAGCCTGAACTATAGGTCCTGTAAAGCAAGTCACAGTATAGCATTTTTAAAACCTGAAGTCACCCTTTCTTGGTGTCCTCTTGTATGTGTGTGGGCAAGTGGTTTAATTACAATGCATAAAGTGGAATGGCAGACAGAGACATCAGAATCAAAGAGCAAGTCCTGGCTGAACTTCATTAGCAAACATAAACACAAATAGGCACATCTTGTTTGTGACATGCCACGGTCCTTTCCTCCTTTGGTAATTTTACTCTATTCTCTCACATTTGCATAAATGTAAATCGAACCATATGACTTGAACAGACTTATGATAGGGGAATCATATGCAAAACTTCTTTTCATTAAATAATTATCTTCATGCAGTCTTTCAATGTTACTGTGAATATCAGGGAGGACTGGATCTCAGACAGTGAAAGCCTTTATTTAAGAACAGTGGAGGGAGCCCTGCCCTTTAAATAAGAGACATTCTTGGATCAGACACTGGCTGGCAGGATGGAAAAAAGGATGTAGCATTAACTTTCATTCCATTCCAAATAACCTGGAACCCATAAACCACAAAGATTCTCTAATTTTAAATCTGCTCCCTTCTCCTTGTGTCTTCTTCCCATTTTATTTGGGGAATGTTAACTTTGAAATTTCATTAGCCCACCGTAATATCAAACAAGTCATCCTGGACAGATTCATAGCTCTTTGTACATCTACAAACACCTACATTAAACCCCCTGTGATTAAAAGATTACTGCTCTAATTTTTCCTAGCCTTCATAGACAAACCATACACAAAGAAGTGTCAGCTTATTTAGAGATTAAAATAACAGTTAGTTTAGGAGGCAAAGTATAAGCAGCATTGTTATAGGAAGAAAATCCATATGTTGCTTAGAATTAGTT